AAAAAAAAAAAGAAGACTGACATAAATAGGGATAGGAGATAGAAAACAAGTGAATTTGTGGGGAGGGAGGAGAGAAACTAAAATTTTTTTCTATGCTGTATACTGACAGTGTCTCCTAGCAAACGAGCTTTTCCTAGCCTATCTATTAACACACAATCTCATATTTGAGGAGAGACCTTATGTGTCTGTTCAGGCTGCTATAATAGAACATCATAAACTGGGTGGCTTACAAACAACAGAAATTTACTTCTCATAGTTCTGGAGGCTGTGAAGTCCAAGACCAATTCACCAGCAGATTCAGTGTCTGGTGAGAGCCCACTTCCTAGTTCATAGATGGCACCTTTTTGCTGTGTTCTCATAATGGTGGAAGGGGCAAGTAGCAGTCTAGGACCTCTTCTAAGGCCACTAATTCTATTAAAGGGGGCTGTGCCCTCATGACCTAATCACCGTCCAAAGGCCCCTACTTTAACTACCATTCAACTGGTATTTGAAGGATTGGGGATTACCTTTGGGGATTACCTTTCAACTTTGGGAGGATATAAATCTTTATTAGTCTATAGCATTGTATGAAAACTTTTTCCCTCTGTGTGGAGAGAAGGAATGTCAACGTCTAGGGAAAAAAACCTGGGTGTTAAATGCAGAGGCTGAAGTTCAGTAGGACCTAAAAAAATGGGGGCTCATTTAGGTTGTGATAAACTGATATCAAAGTTTGATAAATTTTAAAACATCTTCAGATACTGGTTCACTTACTGAACATTTATTAAACACTATGTTATCGGGGCTATGCCAGTTCACACACATGCATCCTAAATATCCCATGACCTCAAGGAACTCCCAGAGTAATCTGGTAGTATCGGCAAACAAACAAAAATAATTACAGAGCTACAGTAATTGTAGGGAAAAACCTTAAAACCTCCAAACTCAAAAGTATAGCATCTGCATCTACTGGGGCCATCCAAGACTCCACCCCTCAACTCAATCTTCATTTTAACAAGGATCCCAGGTGATTTGGATCTTTATTAAGATTTGAGAAGTGATGAACTCTGGGATTATAGAACTACCGGAGTGAAGGAGTTGGAAGTGGTGGGGGGCAGGAAGCAAAAAAAAAAAAAAAAAAAAAAAAAGGAGGAACTACTATTGATTCTTGGGAAGCGGTAAGAAAAGTCTTCAGATGGGAGGAGTGGTAGAGCATTCCAGGCTGAAAAAATAAACAGGCCATGATCAAGGTACTTAGAACTAGTAAGAGGTGTTCTGGAATGAGAAGTATCGTCTGGGAGGGGCAGTGGGCACTTAGGAAGATATGAGAGATATGGCAGAAAAAGCAGCCTGAGGCCAGAAGCACAAGGGCCAGACTGACCCACTGAGGATTATGGAGGAAGCCACAGAAAATTTTAAGCAAAAATGTAACAAGACCAGTCTTATGTCTGGCCATAGCTCTGGTGGCACAGTGGAGGACAAAATGCAGGAGAGACGCTGGAGCAGGCAGGCATGTATCCTTAAATGAGCACCATTCACTTTTGGACTAGTAAGGAAGTCTGAAGACTAAGAAGTGGAGGAGTCACAGAGGTCTAGGCAAACAGAAAAGCAGAAGGTTCCCGCTGCAGTAGGATACAGTGGGGTTCCTTCTCAGCCCAGGAGTGTGCTCTCGGACTGGCGTCATCAGCATCACCTAGTTGTTAGGAATGCACATTCTCAGGCAACATCTTAGAAGCAGTGAGGGAGCCCTGGGGATGGGGCACACGAATTTAGCTTTGCACTTCTCCAGGTGATTCTGATGCATACTAAAGTTAAGAACCACTGCTCTAGCCCGCCAAAAATCAAGTAGCAGGTGGTAAAGGCTTAAAACTGCACAGCTTGCTGTCTTTTTAAAAAAAGAACGAGGGTAATGAGAAATGGGTTTCTATGTTGAGTGGGGCAGAACAAAAGCCACATAAAACCTATATTTTATATAGTGCCCACCCCCAAAAAAGTAGTGACCATCTTGTCCAAAAGCCTTGTATTTGGAAAATAAAAATAAAAATTTTGGCCGAGGCCATGATGTTCTCTGTAACCTAAATTAATTCATCAAATTCTTTCTATTCCCTTTATTTCCCACAAAAACACCCGCAGCAAAAACGCTGGGATTCCTCTGGGCCTCTGAAAACCGTGTTTCCGACGCAACCGCCCATTAGAAAAACACATCCCAAATTAAAAGCCCGGAGAACTAAGCTGCAGGGCTGGCGCCGCCGTCCCGGGACAGCGCGGCCTTTCCCAGCCACACCCCTGCACGCCGCCGGCCTCCTTCCCCGGCAGTTCCCAAAGATAAATAAATCCTCCTTGTTTTTCCAGACCTGAAATTAGCGGTGACTCACAGAGCACTCTGCACTGCCACGGTCGCCTCGGGAAGGAGGAAAAATGTGCAGATTTTTTCCCCCTCACGCGAGGGCCGGACGAACCAGGCTGGGCCAATCAGGGCAGGGCGGCGGGAATCGCACCAAAGTAGGTAAAAAATGCGGTAGGCGTCCCGCCGCCGCGGCCTGCGACTCCCCTCCCACGGGACCTCCCCCGCGCGTGCCCCTCCTAGGGGCCTGCCCCCCATCCCCAACATCCCCCCGCTCTCACCGCTCTGCTTCCATCTCCCTCACCTCTCTCCTCCCCATCTCCCTCTTCCCCACCCCCATCCCCTACCCAATCCCCCTTCCTGCCCCCACATCCCCCCTGCCCCCACTGTCTCCTCCCTCACCTCTCCCCTTCCCACCCTCTCCTCCTACCGTGTGCCCCTTGCCCCTATCCTCTCCTCCCCCGACATTCCTTCCTTTGCCCACTGTCCCCTCTCCTCTTCTCTCCTCGCTACGTGCCCCTCGCCCCTCCCCTCCCCCCACATCCCCCTCCTTTCCCCATACTGTCTCCCTCTCCCCCGCCTCTCCCTTCTCCTTCCCTACCCCAGCCCCACCCTCTCCCCAGCGGCTGGCACACCTGGCCAGGTGGCTGCCTCCCGGTGCGGTCCGCGGCCGCACAGTGGGCGGGGCTCCAGGTGGCCCCGCCCAAGGATGCGAAGAAAGGCCACCCCTCCCCCGTCATCCCGTGTTCGTTGGTCGCCAGCAGGCGCCAGCCCAGTCCGCCTTCTAGCCCCCCGCAGACGGGGGAGAACGCACGTCCACCCCTAAACACTTTCTGGTGGGGGGGGGTCCCCCAACAGCCTGGAGCAGGTGAGGGAAGCTCCCCTCCCGCTGGGAGTTTGGACAGCCGCCGGGCGGGGCGTTGCCGGACTGGCTGGTTGCGTAGCAACGACGGGCGGTGCGTGACGTGCGCAGCCGCGTTCAGTCGCGAGGCGCGCCCTCCCCAGAGTAGGCTCGCGCCGCCGCGTCAGCTCCGCGCTGGGTCTCTCGGTGCCGCATCCGTGAGTAGGTCGCTCCGTAGACTCGCTGCCCGCCGGCTCCCTCCCCTGCGTCCCTGCGACCGCCGCGGCGAAGATGGTGAGTGGGAGGGAGGCCGAGGCGTGGGCCGAGGCGGCCGGGAGCGGCGGGTCTCTGGGGCGCCGCGGAGTCGCGGCTAAGGGAATGAGCCGCGCCCCAGTCCGGGGAAGGACCCGACCTCGCTGCAGATTCCAGGCCCCAGGGATTCTCCGGGCCTCCGTCGTCCGCCGGCTTGGCTGGGCCCCCGCGCCCCGGGACGGATCCCCGGCCGCTGCGCAGCTGCCAGCTGGGGTGAGGCTACCGCCCCGGAGCGTGGCCTCTGCAGTGCCTCCAGCCTTGGCCTTGCTGCAGCTGGCTGGGGTCGAGCGCCCCCACCCGCTCTGTGAAATCCATCGGGGGTCTGCGGACCGAGGCCCCGGGAGGGGGCGGCGTCGGAATCTGGTGACCGTCCGTGTTGGCGTGGGTTTCCCCAGAGCTGGCTCTGAGGCGCTGGGTGATTTGTGCGCGTTCCGGCCCGTGAGGTCTGTCTATCTCAGTAAGGATGATAAAGCCTTTATGGAACAGTCCTAGAGCACGGAATGATCGCCAACAAGCATGATCCTGGCATGATTTAGAACGGGGTGGCCTTGCAGCAGCTTTATTTGTTTGTTTTTTCTTTTTATCTGGCAATCAGCTTCCAGCAGCACCCTCGTTGTGCTTGTCAAGCTTGGCAGTGTCTCTTTTAACATTTCCCTGCCCGATTTGTCCGTGTATGGTTAAGAGTATTTTTTTCTGATCTGTAGACAGTTGAACTGTGCCAGAACTTGGTGCGCAACGTGTGGGCTTGATGCTGGGATGCTGATAAAAGCAAATTTAAGAGCTTTAAAAAAGACCATTAAAATATTGGAGTCACCAAAAAGTAGGCAGGTGCTTATTAGTATATTCTATATGATGCACATTTTTCTTAATTTACATGTTTCCCCCTTTAAACTATCACTTTAATAACTATTTGAAAACGTAGTGTCAGTTGAACTGTCAGGTGGAAGGAACATTTTGTCATTTTCTGTAGTATGCACACACTGTTACCATTTTTGGTCAATGATTTTCAGGCATAGCCTTACCAGACTTTGCTAGAAATATTACGCTGTAATTGCATCTGTCTGTCTGGAAGCAGTTGGTACCCGCTTATCTGCATACAAACTGTTTTCGCTGTGTAACAGTTTTGGTTTTCTTAAGTTATTGCAGCTTTCGTGTACATGCAGGTGGCCCCCTGAGTAAAACAAAAAAATTAATCGGTAGTTTCTTGATGACTAAATAATAGGAATTTGATACTGTTCAGTTTTTGGTTCTTTAAGCTACAAAGTAGCATCTTAAGTCTTTTTCATATTTAATTATTAAAAATTTAATAATATTTTAAATGTATGTACTACTTTATACTAAAAGACTTAATCTAAAGGCTTTGAGTTATGGAATGTTTAAGACCATTCAGTCTGTGAAAGTGCTTTGAAGCTGACTGGGGTCTGCTCTAGAGACTTTTGATTTGACATTATCCTTTTTTATTGAGTGACTAGTGCAGACTTTATTTTTCTGTTTGAAAATAAGAGACCAAATATTTTACCTTTAGTTAAATACTTAAATGCTTAGTTTTAGTTAAAGCTTAACTAAATTCTAGAAAGAAAGAGTCTGTTATATTTCCTGGTTCTTATGAGGAGTGGGAGAAATAAAAATTAGAGATGAGCAGTTTCCAAATACGTTTCAAAATTGTTGGCTTTAGGGAAGTCGAGACCTTACAAGTTACTCCCGTGTGGATGCTTGTGAAGAATGAGAGTTCAGAACATAGACCCCTCATTTTTTTTTTTTTTTTTTTTTGAGACGGAGACCACATTTTTAAAGGTTATTTTTGTTTTTAGCCTTATGAGTGCAGGAACATCTTTGTTCAGTCCAGCGATTAGAGAATATTGATTGTGGGTATTATCCCAGAGTCTAGCATTTTCCTTTAACTCTTTTAGTTAGATGCCTGGTTCCAAGTTTCTGAACTACCATGAGTTTGTTCTAAATTAGCGGAATCCTTTCCTTGTGTTCACCAAGTCTTCTAGAAGCACCTGAAATAAAGTAGTTTGAAACCACCACTTCAGGATGAGATTATGTGTTTTCAGATATGTCACTGTATAGTGCTGCTTCCCCCCTCCAAAAAAAAACGTGTCCGCCTGCACATGAACCACAAGTACAGACCCCAAACAAAACGTACACGTGTGTGTGTGTGTGAGTGTGTGTGTGTGTGTACTGGGTGTGCCAGTCTCCTTAAACAGAGATTGTTTAGCAGCCCACCATCAAGTTCCTAGGGATATTTGCTCAGTAGTTCTACTGGATGTGGATTGAGACATCACATATAAACTTGCCTAGCTCCTCTTGTAACCAAGGAGTACCTTTACTGCGTAGATATCTATATAGCTTCTTGGAAATTAAGAGTGTAGTCTTGCCCTTGAAGTAGAGTTAAAACGTCTGCATGATAATCTAACCCTTACTGCGTTCTCATAAAGTGAGCTAATTGGCTCTGCATTCAAGTATTGTAATACATGGTAATTAGCAAAAACAAAACCACCCAGTGAAATAGGTTTCACATGTTCTTGTGCCTATTTAACATATGAGCAAACAGATTGTAAAGGATTGACTCAAGAGAAATCACCTTTTCCAACTCCAAGCTTTAAAATAATTTTGAAACATACACAGAATAACGGATCCCTTTGTACAGAAAAGGCTATCTTATTGCCATATTTTAAGTTACCCTTACAGCTAAATATGCATCATCTTCTTCATCTCATTCCCTTCCCTCTCCAGAGATAACCATTCCTGTGTCAAAGACATAATATACTGGCTGGTTGAGGAGATGAATTTTTTCAGGCTATTGCAATTAGGAGAGCATTCCTAATTGCCTTAATCTGAAAATATGCAACAGGCCAGTTCTTTGCAGTATCTGTTTCTCAGAACACAAAATGATGGGGTTGATTAACCATCACTGCTTTCAAAGAACACAAGACTCAGGTAAAGTTCACAGCAGTCACCTGAAATTGATATATTTCATTCTCATTGGTAGTTCCATACTTTCAGCTACTTAATCATATGTATTGCCTTGGTGTGCTTTTAAAACTTACGTAAATACTATGTCTCATGTGCAGCTCTTTGAGAAAGAATTAAACTTAGTGGATTTTTTGTTTTTGTTTTGTTTGCATGGGACGATGACTTTTGGATTTATTTGTAGTTTTAGTTCTTTAACTGCTGAATTGCATTATTTTGTGTGACTGCAAGTTTATCCATTCCTCTGTTGGTGGACATTCAGCCATTTCCTAATTTTTTGCTTTTTTTTTTTGGTCTATTTAAACTTCTTATAATAGGCAATTTCCATGTCATATATTACTATATATTGCTTCTCTAGCCCTAGCATGTATCTCTCCGTGGTGTGTATCTAGAAGTGGAAGCCCTGGGTTGGAGGACTGCATACCTATTTTCTGCTCTACTACTGGTTTGTGCTGGTTGTATCTTATCACCAACAGCTTGTTTCTCCATTGCCTTTCACCACTTAATAAAAGACTTAAAAGCTTTGCCAGTGTGATGGTTGTGAAATGGTTTCTCATTTTATTTTGCATTTTTCTGATTAGTAGTGAGCTGACTCTTTTCGTATGTTTATTGCATCTTAAGTTTTTACACGCATGCTGTATCCTGCAGACCTGACCATTCTGTAAATACTTATCATCTTCACCTTAGCTTATTTGTGGAGCCGAAAAGTAAACAGAGCAGCTAAAAAAAAAAAAATCAGCCAGACACAGAGGCCCATACCTGTCATCCCAGCACTTTGGGAGGCCAAGGCAAGAGGCTGCTTGAAGCCAGGAATTAGAGACCAGCCTGGGCAATATAGTGAGACCTCATCTGTACAAAAAAAATTAAATAAAAATTAGCTGGGCATGCCTGTAGTCTGTCTACTCGGGAGGCTGAGGTGGGAGGATTGCTTATACCTGGGTGTTAGAGGCTTCTGTGAATATGATTCCACTACTGAACTCTAGCCTGGCCACAGAGAGAGACCCTATCTCAAAAAACAAGAACATGATTATCAATACCAGAACCTCATGCTGAGGACTAATCTTTCTGTCTTCTGGCACATAAGTTTCTTTCCAGCCCCTTAAGCAGCTAATTAACAGAAGTTCAACACTCTCTCAATTCTAGCCACTTGCCATTTTTAGGCCCCAGATAGTGGTAGAATGTAGAGGTACCTAGGACAGAGTTCTTTCCCTGTTTGCCAAGGGCTGTGGAGATTAACATCCTTCACTTTATACTTACTCTTTTCTTTCCTGGCAGTTCCTCTAGCCAAAATGTAGAAATACACACTGTGTACCTAAAATTTCTCTAAAAAATTAAGTTTTGAAAATAAACATGCAAAACAAGTAACCATGACTTCTTTTCTTTCTCCTTTCCTTTTTCTTTTTCTTTTTTTTTTTTTTTTTTTTTTTTTTTTTTTTTTTTTTTTTTTTTTTTTTTTTTTTTTTTT